AAAAGGCTTTATTTTCCGAAAGATCCCCGTCTAGACTGGCACTTTTTGCCGGCAAAGCCCCGAGCCGAAAAAAAGCGGCAGCCATGTTCATGCAAATGAAGCGGGGAAGATTTAAATCCCCGCTTCATTTGCAATTGCACTGTGTCTAATCTGCATCCCTTTTCCGCAAAAGGGGTGCAGTCTAGACACAGCCGAAAGGTTTCTACAGGCATGTTAGCAATAAGAGGGTGATCGGAGAGAGTGTGGGGCCCTTATTGGATGAGGGAGGTAATCTAGTGACCAATGATATGGGAAAAGCTGAAGTACTCAATGCTTTCTTTGCCTCTGTCTTCACAGACAAGGTCAGCTCCCAGACTACTGAATTAGGCAACACAGTATAGGAAGGTGGGCAGTCCTCGGTGGAGAAAAAACAGGTTAAGAACCCTTTAAAAAAAGTTAGACGCGCACAAATTCACAGGGCCGGATTTAATGCATCCGAGGGTACTGAGGGAGTTGGCAAATATCATTGCAGAGTCTTTGGTCGCTATCTTTGAAAATGCATGGAGATCAGGAGAGATCCCGGAAGTTTGGAAAAAAGCAAATGTAGTGCCCATCTTTAAAAAAAAGGAAGAAGGACAATCCAGGGAACTACAGATCAGTCAGCCTCACCTCAGTACCTGGAAAAATCACGGAGGGAATCCTCAAGGAACCTATTTTGAAGCACCTGGAAGAGGGGAAGTGATTAGGAATAGTCAACTTGGATTCACCAAGGGCAAGTTGTGTCTGACCAACCTGATTAGCTTCTATGATGAGGTAGCTGGCTCCAGGGACATGAGGAAGACAGTGGATGTGATATGCCTTGACTTTAGCAAAGCTTTTGATACAGTCTCCCACAATATACTTGCCAGCAAATTAAGGAAGTATGGATTGGATAAATGGACTGTAAGGTGGATAAAAAGCTGGTTAGCTTGTCGGGCCCAATGGGTAGCGATCAACAGCTTGATGTCTGGTTGGTGGTTGATTTCAAGTGGAATGCCCCAAGGATCGATTCTAGGGCCAGTTTTGTTCAACATCTTTCTTAATGACCTGGATGAGGGGATGGATTGCACCCTCAGCAAGTTTACGGATGACACTAAGTTAGGGGGAGAGATAGTTGGAGGGCAGGGATAGGGTCTAGAGTGACCTAGACCAATTGGAAGATTGGGCCACAAGAAATCTAATGAGGTTCAACAAGGCCAAGTGCAGAGTCCTCCACTTGGGTTGGAAGAATCCCAAGCATTGTTACAGGCTGGGGACCGACAAGCAGCAGGAAAGGACCTGGGGATTACAGTGGATGAGAAGCTGGATATGCGTCAACAGTGTGCCCTTGTAGCCAAGAAGGCTAATGGCATATTAGGGTGCATTAGGAGGAGCATTGCCAGCAGATCTGATTATTCCCCTTTATTCATCTCTAGTGAGGCCACATCTGGAGAATTGTGTCCAGTATAGATAGGCCCCCCCAATATAGAAAGGATGTGGACGCATTGGAGAGGGTCCAGTGGGGGGTGACCAAAATGATTAGGGGGCTGGAGCATATGACCCATGAAGAGAGGCTGAGGGCTTATTTAGTCTGCAGAAGAGAAGAGTGAAGAGGGATTTGATAGCAGCCTTCAGCTACCTGAAAGGAGGTTCCAAAGAGAATGGAAAGAGGCTGTTCTCAGTAGTGACGGATGACAGAACAAGGAGCAATGGTCTCACGTTGCAGTGGGGGAGGTCTAGGTTGGATATTAGGAAAACCTATTTCCCTATTAGGGTGGGGAAGCACTGGAATGGGTTCCCTAGGGAGGGGGTGGAATCTCCATCCTTAGAGGTTTTTAAGACCCGGCTTGTCAAAGCCCTGGCTGGGATGATTGAGTTGGGGTTGGTCCTGCTTTGGGCAGGAGAAGGGGCTGGACTCGACCTCCTGAGGTCTCTTCCAACCCTGGGATTCTATGATTCTAATAAGGAACCAAATTTTGAAGGCAGCCTTGAAATATAGGGCAAAATCTCTCAGCAAAGGAACTAGACATATGAAAGGAAAACTCCATGAAATGTGACAGAGTTTATTCTCCATTGTCTTACACCTTGCTGGGGTCATTTTGTTTAGGCAATGTGGGTGTCAATCACTGTCCAGCCAAAATGCCAGCATTTTAAAATCACTTAGAATCATAGAGCTGGAAGAGGCCTAAGGAGGTCACCAAGGCTGTGTCCAGACTCCATGCCTCCGTCGACGGAGGCATGTAGATTAGCCAGATCGGAAGGGGGAAATGAAGCCGCGATTAAAATAATCGCGGCTTCATTTAAATTTAAATGGCTGCCCCGATCTGCCGATCAGCTGTTTGTCGGCAGATCGGGAGAGTCTGGACGCGATGCCCCGACAAAGAAGCCTTTCTTCATCGACACAGGTAAACCTGGTTTCACGAGGCTTACCTGTGTCGATGAAGAAAGGCTTTTAAATGAAGCCGCGATTATTTTAATCGCGGCTTCATTTCCCTTTTCCGATCTGGCTAATCTACATGCCTCCGTCGACGGAGGCATGGAGTCTGGACACAGCCCAAGTTGGCACAGGTGGAAATAACACAAGGCAATGAAGATTTAGACCTGTGATTTTATTATTTACTGTTAACTTTTATTTAAAACAAAAAAATAATATGCATCTACCTGTGTTACTAAAACTTTATATTGTAAAAAAGTAGGTTTAAAACAAAAACCCATCAGCATGGTTGGTTTGCATCTCACCTCACTTGCACTGCTGTCAACTGAGATGAGTGGAAATAACACAAGGCAATGAAGATTTAGACCTGTGATTTTATTATTTACTGTTAACTTTTATTTAAAACAAAAAAATAATATGCATCTACCTGTGTTACTAAAACTTTATATTGTAAAAAAGTAGGTTTAAAACAAAAACCCATCAGCATGGTTGGTTTGCATCTCACCTCACTTGCACTGCTGTCAACTGAGATGAATCAAGCCCCGATCATGGTGTTTTTCTCTCACACCAGCGTTAATGAGGAATTACTTCACTGAATTCAGTGGCATTACCCACTATAAAACTAGTCTAAGAATTTTTACTTTTTTTTCCATTTATGCCATTTGTGTATTTTTCTATACATTAAAAACAGACTGGTCAGTTTCCCTTTCATTTTTAGTCTGTTTCAAACTTTGCAGCTGCCAGGAACAACAATGTGTGCTTAAATTAAGAACTCACAGGAGAATTTGCAACCACTTTTTCAAAAAGGGACTAATGAAAAAGAAACTTTACTGACTGGGATTTGTGATGGGAATTGTCAAACAAGTCAGAAAGTTAGGCACTCAACTCCCACTGAATAATGAGAGTTCAGTACCTAACTCCTTTAGGTTTCTTCTCAGTGTTCTATGTTCCTAAAGGGTTTATGTACTTTTCAAAATACTATTATATTTTGTATTGCATTCATTCGTAGGAGCTGAAGATATGGACCAATGTTCCACTGTGCTAAGCACTGGGCAAAAATCTTATCCCTCCTATAAAATGGCCTGATTTTCAAAGATACTGAAAATCTCAGCCCTCATCTAGAGCCATAGCTTTGATCCTGCATAAAATTGGCATTGGTGAATCTTTGTGGCCATGCTGAGCTTACTGCAGACCAAGAGCTTGCAAAAGCTGCAGCTACTCCGCAGGTCTGAAAAACCAGCTACTTTGATTTAGGTTCCTAAATCTTAAGTTAGGAATCTAACTTTAGGCACCCAGATTTTAAAACTTTGGCTCCCTGGATGAGTCTTCAGTTTCAGAAGAAAATGACAATGAAACTACTTTTAACTGCAGAGTTTGAAGCCCAAAGTCAGAGGAAGAACTTGGATGGGAAAATGATCCTCAGCAAAAGAGAAACGTTCATTTCCTCATCCAGGTGGGGAGAAATGTAAAACATACACAAAAGGCCATAATGGGGGACAAGTGAATTGGAGTTTAAAAATCCTTTCACTTTTAATAGACTTTGATCTTAGAATAACTTAGGTTAAAAAAAATGGGGGCTGGTGGTTTGTAGCTGATCATGTGGGGCTCGTTTTTCCTGATTACCAGCAGCTAAATCATGTTAAAATAATCTAAAGATACATTAAATAATACATTCCTAATGTCACTTTTCCATGTAAGCAATTACCATAGCTACTACACAGATACTATGCAATGGAGAACATGGGTCAGAGGTGGGCTAGAACAATCACAAATAGGAGGGGAGGTGACAAGACAATCTATTGATATTCAGCCCAGGCTGTGGAAAAGTTCCCTACATTACAGTACAGTGTCCTGATCTTTCATTCACCCACCACTGGTGTAAACCAGGACTTACATAGTCATAGAACAGCACAAGCAGGTCCCAAAAACAGGTCCCACCCTTGCTCACAATCAAAATGACTTCATGCATGTAAAAAGGGGGATTTTTGTAAAAAATTGAGGGTCTAAAGCTGCCTGCAAGCATCGCTCTCAAAAATAATAAATAGCTTCATATCTCAGCCCTTTGCCTGCTACCTATCCCACAGGAACCATACAGAAATCACTTCTCCTTTAAACCAAAGAACAATTGAGGGGTTTTCTTTTACCCTCTTTAAATATTTATGTGTCTAAATGACAGCTCTGAAAAACAATGCTCTTCCCCTCTCCTTCATCTTACCAGATTTGTTTTGTTAAAAGGGGGAAGGAGACAGTGGTCCTGGCTGCTGCTGCTGGTTTTTGCTAGTGATGGTTCTTTCTTAGCCATTTTCCACCCACCTTCCAACATTGGCTTTAACCAAGCAGCACTTTTAAATCACCCTTCCCCTCCCCTTCTTTGCATGTTCCCCACCCACTGGTGATGACGTAGCGTCTGCTGAGCTCCACCCTTCCTCAACTAGAAGGGCTTAACACTCCCCTAAGCTTAGCCAGCCTGCCCTTATTTAATTTAGAGTGTGATTTTCCTATTTTTAGTAGCTGGATAGTCCCTCCTGTAAGGCTTGGAGGTTTTTTTTGTTTTTGGTCCCCCTTTCTGTTGGAACAATTTTTTTTATTTATATAAATAAGAGAGCCCTGGCTGGTCTGTATATGTATGTGAGTGAGTCCCTGCCTTCTTGTTTCAGATCCGCATTTGCAATCAGCAGCAACCAGAAGGGGGGTTGGGGTTTAATTTGATCACAACACAGACTCACAAGGAAAAAAAAACACAACACCACACAGAGCCGAGACCGAGAGCAATTGTGAGTGTCTGGAATTTTTTTTTTTTTTTTTTTTTTTTTTTTTTTTTTTTTTTGGGGGGGGGGGGGGGGG